GAGGGATTGCCTTCGTGTCAATGAGTCAAAGCAATCAGCTGGTTTTCCTTAAATATATAACTGAATCAATTTGACTGTATGATCTGTTGAACTGTAAAGTGCCTTGAAATTAAATGTGTTGTAAATTCGGGCTATAACAATAAACTGAATTTAATTGAATTGTCCATATTTCCTAGTAAATGCCAATGAAATTCTGATTTCTCTGAGATTATTCTAACCAATTTAATAGTTTTTAGACATTATTGGTCAATGAAAAAACACTATGGGAAAGCAGAGATTATAATTCTTTGTCTTTGAGACAACTGGCAGCATTAGGTTTAAATTGAATGGATGTACTTTAATATAAATGCAATTTAACTGTGGTGTGTGGGAGGACCTGACCGCAACTGTTTAAACACTGCTTCTTTGTTTGATATCATGGAAGAACATCAAGGTATTGCAAAGATATATTAAAAACGGAATTTTGGACCAGATACTGCATTTTTTTAGATGGTTCAACATGACATTTAAATTTGTTATAGTTGTAAACACCCTGGGAGTGTACGGTGGTTGCACTGGAACTTCTGAAAGAACGGCTCTCTGTCACAAAAAAAAATAAATAAATATTTTTTTTTCTACAAATAAGAAAAAATGTCTCCAAAAGAAAAATGAATATATCTTGTGAAAATGCTTGCTGAAAATGTTGGAGAGTGTGATCATCCAGGAATGATCACTCAGAAAAGAAGAAGCCACTACTTTGAAAAGCATCATATAATCCTGACTGCACTTTGCAAAAGCACCAAAGACTTTCCGTTTTTAAGCATGTCTGACCAAAACAAATGTGAGAACACTACCTCATGTGTGAAGCAGAGAGGTGGTAGGATCATGATATCTGGGTATTTTGCAACAGGAATGACTGCTGTACATAACAAAATAATGAAATAAACCGACCATCTTTCAAATGGTGACCATAAATAACATGTTAATTAGAAATCGGCTTTAGGTTTAAAAGGTGAATGTTGTTTCAGAGTAGCCATCTCAAACTTCAAAACTTGGTCCCAGAGAATCCTGTGTGAAAAATTTTACCAGTTTGTTTAAGCAGAGCAGCCAGAAAATCTGACCCAGCTGCAACAGTTCCTTCATTAGAATGGCATTTGCATTTTATCAACTCCAAGGATCCCAAAGCATTTATTAATAGTGGCAAGCTTCTCTGAACACATTTTTTTTTCCGCTTTCAGCAAATATGAATAATTTAAACTCTATTTGAGCAAAACCTGGATAATCTCATCTTACTTTATTATAATATAGAGATATAAAAATCCTTTAATGTAAAGTATGGTAATATGGTGCATAGGGTTTCTAGTGATGATTATTAATTTGGAAATCTACCAACACTCTGCTATGAATGGTGACCAACTTGCATTGATGGGTGTAACATTCACGTTGAATGACATATTGAATTTTCAAACCACAGTTTATGCTCTTAAGTCACACCTCTATACTTGGTGGTTGGTTCTTAAGTAACAGACTCAGAAGTTTATTTCATTGGCCAACTTAAGCTGAAAGTTTGTTAGATTCATTCAGGACTTTAAGAGGCGTTTTTATTTTACCAAAAATATAAATCTGTTTTTTTTTTTTATGATTTTCTGTTTGAGGTAACATCAGTCCATGATCCAACTAAAAAACCTTGAATATGGCATCCTTGTCACTGACAGTAAATCTATTTGCTCTTGAAATAATAGATATATAACAGAAAAAAGAAGAAGAGAAATAATTAAAATGCTGTTGGGATAGTTGAAAATTTACTTCAATAAGAGATGTATTCAATATATTTTCACTCAGGCAAAATTAAAAGGTAGTCAACTGGAAAATGACTCAAGCAAGAGTTAAAAAGTATGCATTTGTTAAGAATTTAACTCAATTGTAGCAAGAGAGTTAAAAAAAATCAAATATTTCGAAATATCTTAAACAAATAAATTAAATTATAACAAAATTGCAAAGTCAGGCACAAGAAAAAAAAACAAAAAACTTTTCAACACATTTTTACAACCAAAGCTACAAAAACAATTTTCACAGTATGCAATTATATTAGAAAATGTTTAGAGGTAGAATTTAACATGAGAACGACAAAGAATCTATCAGCAATGAAGTTTAGTCTACATTAAAGAAGTTTTACTTAAACTGAAACTACAGTATAGCTCTATCTGGTGAATTTTGGATCAAAACATTTTTTTTCATTCAAAGAAGCAACTAAAACATTATACTCAAGATAAATTATTTTATTCTCTGATAAACCAACTCTGAAGGAAACAAATGTTTACATCTTGGAGGACAGAATTTGGTCAGAAGAAGGGGAGGATTTCAACTTTTTGATCTCTTTCTGCATCCTTCCATTAATCATGGGCCTTGTTTTCCGGTAGGTATAATGTTGTCCCACTCTATTCTATCATACTACCTCCTGCAGCAGTGTGCACTGGAAAAAAGTATAACCTTGCTCAAACTAAAAAAAATGATGTCCAGATATTACGTCTAAAATATTTGACTTCACAGAATCTGAATTGAATCGCTCGTTATGATATATTATGTTGATGTAATCAATAAATCTGCACATGACAACTTAAAATCTTTGCCCTGTTCTAAATGATTTTCTGAACATTTTAGTAGAGGAACCAAACTAATATATTGAAATTGGACCAACCTAATATACTTACTTTTAATTAAATTAAGAATTACTGTTTGTATAGAAACCAGTTAATTTAAATATAACCCAATTTGATTTTTTACATGTCATTGACTTTATTTCAAAAATAATTTCCATTTCCCATCTTACAAACTCTATACATCCTGGATAGGTTGCCAGTCCATTGCAACACAACCATTCACGCACACACCTAAGGAGAATTTAGAGAAGCCAATTAACCTAACAATCATGTTTTTGGACTGTGGGAGGAAGCCAGAGTACCCGGAGAGAACCCACGCATGCTCAGGGAGAACAAGCAGACTCCATGCAGAGTTGGTGCATTGCTAGCCACTGCGCCAATAAGCCACTCTGTCATGGTCTGGGACTTGGACTTTATCACATGCTCTGACTGCATGCAAAGCGCAGTTCACATTTGCCTCAAACAAAAAAAATTACCTGCAGGCCATGAATAAATATATACATATTGAGAGAAATCAAAAACTTTTTGGGTCCTTTGTACGTGTATTTAGTTCAGGTTGAATCAAACTTGATGTCTCAAAATCCAAAAAGAATGAGTTACACAATCAAATCAATAATTTTATCTAGTTTAGAGTGAAAAGCATTAGTTTGAATGAACAGTTACATGTTACAATTTTTTCAGCATGGTTACTGTTTCTTACAAGCACAACCCAAAAATCTATTTCCTCATAAATGTTTCACCATTAAAAGGAACTTAAATGTATATAAAAAACAAAAACAGTGTTACAACCAAGATCTAATCAACTTAAATCCATTTTCTTAGGTATCAAAATAAAATTATTGTCATGATTGGCTAATGGACTTAACCCACATGCAGAACACCAAACTGGAGACAGAGGAAAATTTAACAATGTTTATTAAGGACAACACACAGAGTTAAGGAGGACTGGTTCTGGTGCAGGTCCGGGACTGGTTTCACTGATATCTGAAGAGATGAGAGTTTGGTTAGCCAGGCAGTTAGATGGATTGACGAGTGAGTAGAATTCTGATTGTACCTTGAAAAGGTTCCGACAGATCCCTGAGAGAGGGGAACCGGTTGGGTCCAGAGACTGTGGAAGTAGCAGAGAACTCGGCAGCAGCAGCGTCTAGCTTCTGGCTAGAGAGTCTCAGACTTGGGTTTAGTTTCCTAGCTCTTCCCTGAGAGCTGAAGGTGGAATCCAGACTTAGATCTTCTGGTTTGGCTTCCTTGGGCAGGCAGGCAGGTTTCCAGGCAAAGCTCATCCAGAGCTTCAGACCTCAGTCAGGCTTTCTGTGAGTAAAGAAGACAGAGGCAGGTTAGAATCCAGTTCCTCTCTAGAGTCTACTGTGATTCACTAGATTTACAGAGGCTTAGGTTTGCTAACCAAACTTGGTCAACACTCCGGCGTCGAAGGAAGGTCTGACTGCTGCTTATAGGAAGGTCTTCTGATGGGCTGATGAGCTTCAGGTGTGCTGGAGGCTCCAGCCCAGGAGACCCACAGCGCTGTCTGCTGGAGACAGATGGTAGATCTCCAGATCCCAACAGTAACCCCAGTCCCTAACAGAAAACATAAAACAGAAGAGGATCCTCGGCGCCCTCTGGTGGGCAAAGCCTCAGGATCCCAACAATTATGATGACAAAAAAGAGAAACCTAGACAATCGCAGTTTTATTCAATGACAACAGTGTTATTTTCATCCTAACCTGTATAAAAATAAATATTTCTTGTCACTCAGAAAAATAATAAAGCTAGATGGTTTAATAAAATAAGTTATCAAGCTTATATGATGGAAAAAGAAATGAAATATGAGCTGAAATAATACATAAACTGAGTGATTTCCATGTTTATCACCCAAGTCACAACAAGCTTCATACATTCCTCCAACATCTTTAACATTTGCAACATAAAGCCAGTTATCTATATCTGCATTTTCCCCACAGCTATGATGGTGAAGATGTTTGCATCCTCCTGGACAATCATCTATTTTATTTGTCCTCATTAGTGTTGCTCTTATCATTAATTTCCTGCCATATCATTCAAATACAGCAGAATCACCTCAGGTGTAACTTGGAGGATATCAGTATTAGTGCTGACTGATGGTCAAGTTTCCCCACAAAGAGAAAAGGAGGAGAGAGAGAGAGAGAGAGAGAGAGAGAGAGAGAGAGAGAGAGAGAGAGAGAGAGAGAGAGAGAGAGAGAGAGAGAGAGAGAGAGAGAGAGAGGCTACAAGATTCGTCACGTGATCCCCGGGAATGACGTATAGGCACCATATGGCGCGTGCCGGGAGGGCGGGACCTCGATATGCTAATTACTCACGGGCCCTCGCGCGTGGATTTGGTGTGTGTGTGGCTGTGATGCTGAGTATAAAACCAGCAGCATCTCTCGCGGTCCCCAGAAAACACCCATCAGATCACGCACAGTCACGCACGGACACAGACAGAGCGCGCGGGATGACTGCGAACTGACGAGCAGCTCCCATTAAACTACAGGTAAGTTTTGGACACAATTAATTGATTTTGACCTCTTTAGAATTCAGGATACTGTTATTTTTCATAAGAATATTTGAAACTAAAACGTCACAATTTATTTGATCTGTAGACGGTCTGAATATTTTGGTTTGAAAGAGTTTTTGTTTCCTGAAAAGGCAGTTTTCTAAAAAAAAAAAAAATAATAATAATAATAATAATAAATAAATAAATGATGGATAATAATAGTGTTTCCATGTTAAATGGTTTATTTTTTTATTCGTATGTTTTAGTAAAATTAGCATTAAATGTTAAACATTTTTATTTCAGTTTGCATAAAAACTAACTTAAATCATCCAGTTAGATCTTCTGTGCTGTTTTGTCTTTATTAATGTTCAGCTAAAATGAATGAAGCGACGCCAAATGTTTCCACGCACCTCCGGGACAAATCAGCAGATTATGAGAAATAGCTGATTTGATTTGATTAAAAGCAATAATAAATTATTATTATTATTTTTAGACACCTGAATTTATTATTTTTTATTGTTTTATTTATTTTCTCCACCATGAATGGAGAGAACCCAAATAAGGGCAATTTTCTCTTTCTGGATCAGCGTTTTGATTTTGTTCTATTGCGTTTGTATTTATTTTACATTTACCTTTTTTTAAAAAAAAAAAAAAAAAAAAAAACGGGAGGGATCCCTTTTAAATTGTGGAATTAAATTAAGTTAATAATGATCAACATTTTTGGTCGGTTTATTTTGCGCCAGGATCACATTGATCCAATTTGTTGCGCTCAGACCTCTGAAGTGCGCACTTAGATTGGGAAGGCCAAGGAGAATTAAAATTGTCCTTCCCTTCATACACTTTGCACAATTATTTAAATCACATAAGATTCAAGATTTATTTCGTGTCAAATTATTTGTGAAGGGTAGAAAACACCCATATTAAAAGGCTTAGGTCCTGGAAATAACATTCCCGATGATGCAGAAAAACGGTCGTTTGAAAAAAGTATATTCAGTCCTTGCATTTACTGATAATATAAATTAAGTAGACATTTTTAAACATGTTTTATTTAATCAAATATGAATTTGTTTCCTGCAGAGAATCAGCATCATGACCAGGTCTGTGAGGGAGGAGCACACCTCTGTGGAGTCGGATGAGCTCTGCAGCCCTGCAAACAGAGAGACCGACGGAGCAGGAGTCGGAGTGGGAGCTGGGGAAGAGGAGGACGACGACCTGCTCCATCATCCGGAGGAGGACGAGGATGATGATGATGAGGAAGACGAGGAGGAAGAGGAAGACGGGGAGAACAAACCCAAGAGGAGAGGGCCTAAGAAGAAAAAGATGACCAAGGCTCGCCTTCAGAGGTAAGGTCCACCTTTGAACATGAGGGAGAATAAAGAAAGGAAGAATGGAAATAACATGAACAGACAGTAGAGTACAACATACAGCCAATACTAAAATAATGGACAAATGACTTAATTATCTATTAGATCACTTTAAACAGATTCTTTAATCTATTTCTTTAATCTAAGACTGAGGACAAAAGTTTGTCAGAAATTTTAATCACAGTTTTGTTTTCATTAACAGTAACATTTCTTGTATAGCCTGGAGTCATGAAACATGTGAGAATGAAATTTTAGAGCTGTCAAACTTTATATCAGACTAGTTCCTTGTACTGTTTGTGGATAGTTATCTTTGCGCAAACAACATTAGACTTTAGACAGATTTTATTTGTCATTTTGTTTACACAAGTGTAAAACAAAAATAATTTTCGTTCGGAAACAACTCACTGGACAATTTCACCTTTTTAAAAGTGCAGCCTTGAAAAACAGTAAAAATGACTGTAAATTTACAGTTCTAACTTTTTAAAAAGTATATATAAATAATAATAAATAATAATAATAAATATAATAATAAAATACAATACAGTAACCCATTCTACAAAACATTCATTAGTCTAATGGCAGTAGGGACGAAACAGTTTTGGAATCTACTAATAACCACATCTTACAGAACATATAAAATCAGATTACTGGAGGGCATTTTGTTATAGATATTTAACTCTGTAGAAAGTTATTGCTTGGATGTAAGTTTAGATGTAACTTTCAATTGGTATGTTGAGTAATAAAAATTTAAACCAAATAGTGTGGGGGGGGGGGAATCAAACAGTATACTTAAACTAACAGGTTGACTTATAAACTTTAAAATATTTGAGTTTCTCTGACAGGAGGAAATTGACCAGATGAAATTTAGGACAGGGCTGGTTCTTATGAGTGCTGCTCTGGGCAATCCAGTCCTGTACGGCTAAGTCCATCTTGCAATATACTTACAATTTTATTTTTACAAATTTAATTACCTTAAAATTTATGAAAAACTTCCTGCTCAAGTATTCATATTAGTCATTTGTGTGTGTGATAATATACGTTTAGTATAAAATATCTCAAATGAGGTTTGACTCAACTAAATATTTTGAAATTTAAATGGATGATAATTAGATTAAATGTAGGTTCTCAAAAAACGGGAGAAAAAACAATTTAAATTTAATACTGAAATTATTGCTGCAATGAAGTTTCTTCTACACACAACGCAGGTAGATACCTCCTTTTTGAATTCACGCTTAAGTTAACAGCAGACTTGTTAAGCAAGTAACTGGTTTTCAGTTGATGATGCCCCCTAACCCATTCCGACCTGAGCAGGGAGCCATACTGCCTAAATCTGAGAATGCCAAAGTTGGATCCCTTTTATAAACACCTTAAATACCTCTGCTTCTGTCTGTTCAGGTTTAAGATTCGTCGGATGAAAGCCAACGCCCGGGAGAGGAACCGCATGCACGGGCTGAACGACGCTTTGGAGAGTCTCCGAAAAGTTGTCCCTTGTTACTCCAAAACTCAGAAACTGTCCAAGATCGAGACACTGCGCCTTGCCAAGAACTACATCTGGGCTCTTAGTGAGATCCTACGCTCTGGCAAGGCCCCCGACCTCATGAGTTTCGTCCAGGCGCTCTGCAAAGGTCAGAAGCTCTGCAGTCCGGTTTCCTGGCAAATAGAAAATACACAATACAAATAAATTAATAAACGTTACAACATTTATAATCACCTTAATATGTTAACTTTTTAAATAATTGTTTCAGCTTTGAGGAAGTTATCAGATGTCCATCTTCATAATCATGATTTATTTACTGACACTTACTCAACAATAGTTAATATTTATTTTTAAGAATCATTAACCACTAAACTAAGAAGTGGTATTATATATATTGGAAGTTGGTGAATATTTAAGATTTGGTTTGTTGGTGAATGAGTGTAGAATTTAGCAAAAATTAATAGTCCATCTTTTTTTGTTTTCACAAATTGAGAAAATGCATTACACTAATAACACTCACATTGCTTTGGTTTTTAGAAATAGAATAAATCAGAATTCTACAACTGTGATCATATAAATCTAAGGTTTGATTTCCCAGAATGATTTTATAGATAGCAAATTCTCAGGTATTGGTGCCAGTGCATAGCTCTTCATTATATTCTCGTAGTACTTACAAATTGTTTGTTGCCTTTCTGAGAAACAAAGTTTGTTAGAAGTTGACCTGTATTCCAGACTTTAAAACTATCAACACAACAGAGCAACTTGAGAACTATTTCCTTTTTTTTTTTTAAGAGTTTCAAACATAGATGAATCAAGGTTTCTAGATTAACGCTTCCAGAAAATGCAGGGCTCATATTAACAGCTTAGAGGAACTCCCCCATATAGAGAAATGATCTAAGCCACTCAGCATTCTTCAGGAGACAGGGTTGAGTTATACATGTAGATCGCATTACGCTTCATATCACTGATAAATACTGACCTATCACTCCCTCTGTGTTCCCAGGTCTGTCTCAGCCGACCACTAACCTGGTGGCGGGCTGCCTTCAGCTGAACCCTCGGACCTTCCTTCCAGAGCAGACACCAGACATGCCCCCACACCTTCCCCCTGCTGGTGCCGCCGCATATCCTGGACATTTCTCCTACCAGAGCCCTGGACTCACAGCCGGTTTGCCCAGCCCCCCCTACGGCACCATGGACCCCTCTCACATCTTCCACCAGGTCAAAGGTCAGCCATACGGCTCCTTGGAACCGTTTTTCGATGGAGTCCTGGTGTCAGATGCCCCGGCGTTCGATCCGCCTCTCAGTCCACCGTTGAGCATCAATGGTAACTTCTCATCCTTCAAGCATGAGCCTGTTCCAGCCTCCGAATATGACAAGAGCTTTTCTTTCGGTGTGCACTACGGAGCTGGAGGAGCTGGTGGCCATCCCCCCATCTATGGCAGCGGGGGGCCCAACCCGCGGTGCGGTGAGCTGCAGGTGGAACAACTGATGGGATTTGACGGACACTCGCACCACGAGCGGCTTATGAATGCCCAGTTAAATGCCATCTTTCATGACTCATGAGGATGATGGACAGTTAGACTGATGTAGACAGACAGACCATGATGTGCGAAGACTATCACTTTATCGCTGTCCTTCGGTCTCTTCTTGCTGTTCATCTTTCTGTCCACATCTGTCTTTAACTCCTCTTTATGATGGCAATTCAACAATGCCATAAACTTCTTTATAGCGCTTCACCTGACAAGAGACGCTCCTTGAATGTCTTGTCAGAGTCCATATTATCATAAAAAAAGCAACAATCAATGAGCAATAATCTGGAGAAAACTATGCAATTTTGTTGAAGGCTGAACTAATGGTCAGCCACTGATTCCAAATGTTAAAAGATTTCTCTATTTTTTTGGGGTCATTGTGTGAGAGGCGAACTTGCGCCGGTGTCGGGCTGAAGTGTTCATGTTGTTTCTAAGTGTTTTGCTTTTTATATGGTTTCTGTAGCGTTATGTTATAATTTCATGTGACTCTTGTTCATATTTTATAAGATAGATGTTTATAAAATCCTTTTATTAAAAGAAAATCAATGTGATTCACCTGTATGACTCATTTTTATTTTTTTGCAACATTACAAAAAACAATGGTTTGGACAGATTCTCTTAGTTTCTTCAGAGCTTTTATTTACAAAACATACCCATAGTTGCAATATGATAATAAATAATAAAAGATAATTGTGTTTGCCATTCTTATTTTAGAAAAATCTAAAATATATAAGCCCTTTTATTCAGATGATTTAAAGATTGCAAACATTTCCAGTTTACAGAAATTAAAATCCTACTGATTTCCTTGCTGAGTGAACCCTATAAACAACACTATCGTACTTTATGAAGGACAAAACAGTGATTGGTGTGTGGGTGTGTGCGTGTGTGTATGTGAGGGGCACAGATGTTCGTTCTGCAGGCGAGATTTTAATTTATGAAAATGATCTTGTTTATGCATGAGAGCCCCACACCCAAACACACACTTAGCTCAGACTCACACTCTAATGTCCTACTGTTTGATTGTGTGTGTGTGTGTGTAAGTCAAATGGGACAATATGGTGGCCATATCCCACCATTTACCCTCCCTGTTGAAATGGGATGTTTTTCACCAACTGAATGCAGGGAAAAAATAAAACTATTTTTCAAGTGATAAAGAAAATATTTGATAATATTGCTGTATTTCTGAAGGAAAATACAGTAATTTGGCTGCCATTTTTTTAACATAATCAGTTTATTAGTTGATTCATTTGTCAAAAAAATTTAAGTTAAATATATTATGGTGGTTTAATTTATTCCCTAAATGTTTAGCTTTAGGATAAAAAATACTGAAAACAAAAATTGACACAAAAGTCATTAAATGTGTTTTCTTTCAAGTGAATATGTAGCTGATTATGTGCAAAGTTAAGCATAAAATCATGGGTTGTAATAGGCAACCTTTATAAATAGTGACATAAAAACCAGATTCTGCAAGCACTGACTTCCCCAGGTCTTTGAACCTTAAAATGTTGGGTAAATGCATAAGAAGTCAGCTCTAGAATTTGGTAGCAGAGAGGATGTAGTGGTCATTCTGCACTCCGCACTAAAATAGTCAAGTATCAGCTTGAACATTGTTTTTGTTGCCAGAGTTGAAAATACAACCATTTTCATTGAGTTGCCACAACTCCTGGTTGAGTTCTGGGTTACCATCCTACATTAGTGTGTGTCCAAGGTTGGTGTCTGGCATAAAGAAGAAAACTAGGCAATTGTTGTTTTTTTTAGTTCACTAGTGCAATAGTGAAGAGCGTGTTATTGCACTTTCTACTGTTTCTTTAAAGCTATTTCAGCTATAACCAAATAGAAACACAAAAAAAGCTAAAAAACAAAACAAAAAAAACTCTTGGGCATCAACCAAGATGTACTATCAAGTTTTTCCATGGTATAAGCCAATAACTGAGCTCTGTTAGGCCCAGATATACCTATTCTTTGTAAATGTTACAAGATTTACAAGGAATAAACTTTTCTTTTTTAAGTGATATTGGGGGAAGAAGCATTGTTATATCACAGACCTAGTTAGTTTTTTTCAGTATCAAGAAAAAGAGAAAGTGGAATCTATACTGAGCTCCTTGAAAAGCAAATACATAATGCAGGTTAGTCTTTTTGCAGCATGAAAATATCCTAGAATAACAGTTGCATTAGGAGCATTACCTTTGTATTGTAAGCAGCCTTTGTGATCGGGGTTTTGTATTTCAGTCTGTTGGCTGATCATAACACTGATTAATGCAGATTTAAACTCAGCCATCTGTCAGCAGGACACATGCTGAGTGAGTGTTTCAGCCGAGGCTCATAATATGGAATTAATACCGCAACACCCCCAGGCTTCCTGATTGGCTGGCAGGTGTCTGTTAAATAACATCACACATCTAGACAACAACCCAGGTGTATCAAACTGTTGGATGCCATGAAAGACATTCTTCATGTCTCTTGTCAACGGGTGTAAGTAGTTCTGCAATGACAAAAGCAGGGGACATTTGGCCATTATAATGCATCAAATTCTACCTGGGTTCAATCATAAGACCTTTGTATTTTTTTTTTTTTTTTGCTGATTAATGCATTTATTGTTTTAATGAATATTGACTGTTTAAGAGTTTTGGAGAAATATATTTTGATAGACTATTAATGCTAGCAAAGTGTTTTGAATAAAAAATCCTATTTATATTATATTTATATAGCTTTTTTTATTCTTTCCATCTTCAAATCCCAAGAGTTTAATGGTTGAAATATTTCACAACAATGGAAATTATCATTTTAAGAATAGGCCACATACTATCTGGGTTCGTTGTATGTTGAAACCACTATTATTTTTGGGAGCTTCTGTAAAATTATATACAGTAAGCAGCAATGTGTGTTGGCTCTCAGTTTTTTTTACTCTTTAAGATTTGGTCACTACCCAACTTGTTCAAAGACACATTTCAGTTTTTAACAACTACGTGTCCCTCTGAGCATTTTACGATAGTATTATACCTGCTTTAGAGTTACTTTAGTTTTATCCTGGTCATATATTATTAAACTATAACTGAGGTCTTGGAAATGAGATCTTGGGTCTTAATGGCATAACTTGTATGTATAAAGTTGAATGAATTCAAACTTTTAAGTATTTACTCTTGATATAATTCATACAAGTAGCTAATTTAGTAATAAAGTATTTGTATATCTAGTGTTAAATTATATAATCATTTTGAAAAGATAATGAAAATAAACATCCACAAAAGAACAAAATATATGCGCGCTCCCGAGTTGACAGAGCATGGATGTAGATTACCGCGTGCCCGATGAAGCCGCTACCTGTCTCCATAGCGACGAGACCCCGGAAATACACACTGAGCAGCTTACTGCTTGTTTATCGGACACAAACAATTTTCAGCTACGCTCTTTTCTTATTTCTTTATTTGTTTTTTTATTTTTATTATTTGTTTCATTAACTGGGAGTGCAAACATGTCGGAGCTGGATGTTGAAGCGCAGGGAGAGATGAGAGACAGCGGCAAGAAGAAGAAAAAGAAAAAGAAGGAGAAGCGGAGGGTCAATGAGGAGAAGGAGGAGGAGCAGGTGGAGAGGGGAGAGGAACCGGGGTGAGTAGTACATGAGTTCCTCAGATCCTTTTTAAAAAGATACTTAAAAAATAAAAGCGGTAAAGTTTAACGCAGACATGCCCCTTATGGAACTCTTTCAAAATAAAAGCCCTGCCATAAGGAACGTGCGACCGGAAGTAGTATTCTACCTTAACCCATCCTCCATATATTAGATTGCATATTACACTGATTAGGGTTGATTTTACCCTCATGTTTTAGGCACTAGGTATTGTCACATTAATCTGTTAAATCAATGACTGTTCAATTTGATGCTAAATAATTATATTCCCTCATTACAGAAATAGAAGATGCTGCAAGATGCAACAAGCGACAAACCAAAACATTTAGACTTTCAGAAAAAGTTTTATTAAATTTGTAGAATAATCTAACACAATCTTTCTATCAGTTTTTTCACCATAATATTAATTACAGAGAAAAAAAGTTCAATGTTTATTATTATTATTATTATTATTGTTATTATTTTTTATGGAATTGTTTTTCTTACAATGAGGAAACAAAATATTTGATTTGAGCCCAAAACCCGGGTTTAATATTTCTCCCTTTGGTTGAAAGAGTCATATTAAAGGTAGAAATTGTGCAAATTATGCCTTGATAAATACATTCTCTACATATTTAAAGAAATGGGTTAAAATTTGACATATTCCAATAATAATTTTAATATTTTTTTTCTCAACACCATCAATTCAAGTAACTAAATGAAATGTGTTTCTAGTTTTTATCTTTTCTAATTACAGAAACAAAACCAACTAGGAAAATCTGTATATAAAATCTTTCGTTTTAAAGTAAGCTTGCAAAAATACATTTAAAACCTAGAAACTTAGATCTGTTTTCTGCGGTCAGAGACGATTTCTTTTATCACAAATAAATATAATCTGGTCTGCTCACAAGACAATCGTGACTTAGCAACTCTCTTATTTCATTAAATTATCTGTTGTATGCCTTTGATAGAAAATAACTTAAACAAATCTATTGTTTTAAAATACACTTTTATAAAATTCAGTTTAAGGAAAACTTTTTCAATTTGCTCTAACAAGGTGTTACTTAGATATTTCACAAAAACAGTAAGTGGGGCCATTTATTGGTAAAACATTGGCTTCTTTCTCCAACTCAGAACTTTACAATTAATTAATGATCTATTTAAAAATACAATGATATTATTGTATTTTTAAAAAGATTTTAACAATGCTAACCACATACACGGTCTGTGTATTTATTATTCTGTAAATCAGCACAGTGGGCAATTTGTATTGAACGATTAATTGATTACGCTCTATGTTCACACTGTAGTTTACAAGAAAACCATCTCTCAGATTCCCAAAACTCTCTGAGGAATCATTATGTTAGAGCTGTTTGCCATGTTCTGCTGCTGAATAGCTTGATGAATGCACAGTGATGAAATGTTTACTACAGAAGCTGATGGTCCAAACTAAGATAAACCCGCTGGTTTATTCAAACGAACGCTGAAAAACCTTCAATATTTCTTCATTAAACATTGTCCGTAAAGAATGCAAGTGAAAAATCCTATCTTAGATGTTGAGAGTTTTGTCCTTCTTACTCGATTAATTGAACCAAATTTACTTCTTTACTTTATTTTTAAAAGAACACTAAGCATTAGTAAAGTCATGTATTAGTAATCGCAATAAAATGGTACTGTTAGTTACAAGAACAACAAACAAACATTAGAAATTAAAATAGATTGCGTAATCAAAGATTAAAATTACTCAAAGAATATTCTATTTGTCAGTTACAAAATAATATTAAAAAATAATAGGAGAAATAGATAAATACATTTCTATTGTATTACTATTAATAAAAATGTACAAATATAAGTTAATATTTATCTCAAATATCTATCTATTCAATACCTTTTAAACAGTTCTGAGAAATTGGATGATCACGTTGTAGTAATATTATATATACAGTACTTCAATATTCAGAAATTCTGGAGGATGTCAGGACCATCCAGGTGAATTTTTTTTTATTCTCATTACAAAATAAAACTATTTTTTCCCATCCTTTTAGGCCCTTATTGGTGCCCATTTTCATAGTCCATATGGGCGTGTTTGTGGTGTGGAACGCGGTGAAGCCTTAGATACATTTTATTTCTTCTTTCCGAGATGCCATCCTAGGGTTACTGGGCTGCTCCCAGCACCAGTAACAACTTTTATTTAGGTTGACGCTCTGCCTTTTCTTCCAGTCTTCCACTTGACTTTTTTTTTTTTATACCCACCGCTCAGCATGTTTGAAGAAATTACTTTCTCACTGAGACCTTGGCAACCGTGCTCGACAACCTTGACACTGCTGGAATGAATAGTGTGAATAGCTGACAGAAGATAAAATGAAACCCTCTTTCAACTGTTTCTTCCTTTTAACATTTGCATATTGTAACTTCTTGTCTGATATCAACATTTTGATCAGGAGTTCTCCTGCCGGATTATTCAGTGAAGAGTCCCCATTAATTATCTGTATGGTTCAATGGCTACTCTATCAAACAGTTCAAAGAGGGACATATGCAAAAACTATCTTGTTGATTGAAGTAAAATTAAACTCTTTCTTTTCTAATTTTCAGTGAGAGCGTGTTGATGCGAGGCATCTTCAAAGTGGGGAAAAAGAGCCATGACGTCCTGCTCACAAGAATCAAACTGACCTGGACTCCGATCATCCCGGAGAGTCCCACAGGTGGGTAACAACGGGGCAGGCTTTACACTGTGCTTTTCTTCTGTAATAGGAAAAACTGCGCCTGTACGTTTGAAAGTAGCTGATGCTGTTATGGAGGGGATCTATCAAACTATCTGAATTCTTGAATAAAATATTCACATCATAGCCCTGTCATATTTAACAGCTTATAAAGGCTAAAGCATGAGTAAATCACACCCTGCTCATTGTCTCATAAAGATGCTTTGTAGCTGTGACTGCATTTGTAGGAAGCCCTTTGGTCTCAGAAGGCATTACACCCATAAAGTATCTCAAATTTAGCACACCTGCTCCCCACTCACACCTGAGACTTTGTAACACTAACAAGTCACATGACACCAGTGAGGTAAGAGGGCTGATTGGGCACCATTTTGGTATATGTACTTTGGGCGGGTGTAGCTGAACTCAGTTTTGTTACCAGAATCATCCCGCTCTTTCTTACATCAACTCTCTCTCAGAGAAAGGTGGGTTTTTACAGTGCAGGCACAGCGCGGTCTGGGCAGGCGCTTCCTGGAGAGGGCAGCTCTACATACAGTAGACGGGCCCTATTGGCTTGTTTTGACAGGAAAGGTAGGGGCGGCTTGTAACAGATCAGAATTCATGAGGATTACTCAGACATAAATGAATAAAAATGCACCATGTGGATTTAAGAAGCAGTATAACATAGTCAAAAGCTCAGAAAACTTTATTTTCACTTTAATTTTAGACAGAGATGCTATCAGCTTAATTTAGAGCAGCAAACAGCTGAGATCACAACATTAGTACATTATTTACCCCAATGGACTGCTTAGATGCAATATTTGGTAGGATAATGTCATTTATATTTCAAGTTTAATGCCTCCTAATAATGTATTTCACCTCTTGAATTGGTTTAATTGCATCTAAAGACCACACCTGGTGTGTAATTTTGTCAAGTATGTATGGATTAAACTACATGGGTTAAAAACATACCATTTGATAGATTTAAAGGGGCCAAACAAGCCAGTTTCTTCCCATTTCTGTATTAGTTAGCTACTGTTTTTGCTCCTATTTAGAGCTTTCCTGTTGTGTGTTAGATTTTTACTTGGAAACCATTCAGTCCGAACTGGTTAGTGAAGCAAGATGAAGGTGTAAATTCAATGTGTTTGTGTTTCTGAAGCCAATCTGTTTTGTTGTATTTCATCCAAGCTAATGTCATTAAGCCAGCACTGTGTGTATGTGTGCGTTGGCAGCACTAGAGAGCAGTTGGTTTGGCCCGTGGGGGGTTATTAGAGTCTCTCAGTGTGAGGAGATTAACGCACACATACACATAAGCAGTCTGTTAGCACGCTGTGTGTGTGTGTGTTTCTGCGTGTTGATGAGATATTTCTGTATAAATGGATCATCTGCTCTTGTTTATTTCTAAACAGGAATCGATCTTATCCATTTATGTTAGGAAAGCGAAACCTGAGCTGTCAGATACAGTTGTTGTATTTTGCGCTGTGGCAGAAAAGACTTTGTGTGGCAAAGAAGAGTTGTTCAATTTTAAAAAAACCTACATAATAAGGGGGAATTTCAGTTGACTTAAGTTGGCAGAGACAAATTTCAGATGTAAAACCTTATTTTGTTTAGATGCGGACAATTTCCAATTCCAGTTTTTGTTAATATTAGTTTTGAGTTATTCTAGATATAATCAACAGTGTTCCAATCATTTCTTTTTAGCCTTGTATCCAGAGAGTTTGTGTGTTTGAGCACAGTCGCTGTATCACAGGATTTAAAATAAACAAGGTACAACAATAGCAGAATTGGCATTTTAACCTGTGTTAACATGTTATATTAATGATTATTGCGATGATCTAGATTAGTGTTACAAATTGTAAACTGCAATTTCTGGGTGAAAATGAAGATAGCCCCTTTAACTCTCAGATTCCCACAAGGTTTTCAGCATTTGAAATCATCAGATATTTCTTTAATCTTACCTGAAGATTTGGTTTGACATTACGGAAATCTGTAAAAAGTAGGAAATGTTGAAAGAGTAGAATGACCTTCACCAACCTAATCCTTGCAATACTTCAAGGTCATTAAAAAAGGTATTAATGATCTCTAAAGTATGGATCAGTGATAAGCCTGGGTTATGACTGACGCGTCGACGAGATCTGGGCAGCCCAACGATGTCATCTTGGCATCCACACGCCTCCCCGAGGCCTGATTTTCTACATAGGACACTTGGCAAAATTTGTAACTATGTAGACACGGGCCATGCTTATAAAAAACAATGGACGAGTAATAGCTTCTACTGGCGAGTGCTCGTAAATATAAACATCTAGAGACATCTTGATTCGGCCTATAACTATCACAGTAATTAACAGAGTGGGAAAAACTCTTGGATATAAGTTTCTGTCCCTCTTGGATGACACAAAGACGTTTAAAAACAGAAGAAAAAGCTGTGTTTTCTACACTGTCGTGTTTTGTGGTGTTTTAGGCTTGCAATGTATGCCGTAAATGCCTACCTCAAACTGGCCAGAATAATAGGAACAGGGGGAAAAGCCACTCAGGGCATAAAAGCTGCAGACGTTGTGTCTGCACATCTCAATCGAAATGTATGTGCTGCAACATAACTGAGCCTTTAGGGAGCCAAGAAATTCACATTCTCCTGTCTAAAATAGTCTGGAACAATCGCAGCACAAGAAGCGAGAGTTTACATGGGGGTGCCAGAATTACCCATAATGCAATGCCGATTTTCTATGAAGGATAAAAGTCAAGCTAGCGGCCGCACCATAGCAATGTTTTAAGATGCCGTTTATGAAAATTTGCTAGATGCATCTTTCAACAGCTAGCTGCTGTGCTATTTTTGTTTAAAAAGATAACATTTTTGGATCACATCTGTGGCTATCTGATGGTTCTATCATGTTTCTCTTGACCCTGAAAGCCCCGCCCTTGTCCCACCTTTAAAATGGGGATCTATCAGTTAACTTAGGCTTTTAATTAGAGATGCACTGATCAGATACCTGTTACTTGTAAACAAATGATATAAAGTACATTTGAATCTGTGTGAATTTGTTACCTTTTTTAATATTGCTTATATAAAGGCTTATATCATGGATGCACTTTAAAAATGAAATAGTCAAGAGAGCTGTACTTAACGAAATGTCTTTTTGTTTAGACTTGTGTGTCTAAGTCTAAGTCTAAGTCTAAAGGATAAAGCTTTCACTCACATGGCAAGGTATATGGTTCATTCATTTAATAGTTGAATCAAAGCAATATAGGATATCGGCTGATATGCTCAGCCCAGGTATTGGATTGGCTCAAAAAAATATTCTCTCTAGTTTCACTTGGTCCTTCCTGTATCCAGGTTCTTAAATGCCTGTTAATAAAACAGACTATAGCAAAAGATTCAAAATTTTCCATTAAGGTTTTTGCCTTGCAATGATGCTAGTTCCTTCTTTTTTGCCATTAAGGTAAAGTTACACAGCATATTTACGTGATTGCCAACAAAAAAAAAACAACATCATAAAATTTTCTTAAAAGTGATTTATGTAAATCTGTCATACCTCTCTTAATACATACTGGGTCAGATCCTGGAGGCAGGGAAAGCAGAATAAAGCGTTATGTAACGCTGTTGGTTAAGCTTCACAATTAAAAAGATTGGTTCATAATGGAGCCTGGAAGGTGGATGAAGACCAACAACATAAATAAAGCTTTAAATAAAAATATTCAAAAATAATATTAAAAAAAAAAAAAAAAACATTATTATCAGTCAGAGGATGACAACATGAAATAAACAATGAGCAATGACAATGACTTGAAAGGTTTTATATTTTCAGCCCTTCACAAGTCCAAAAGCTCCTTAAATCGGGGTCTGTTCCATTAATGTAGTTGCTGTGCATCTGCAACTTTTGGCAACCATAATCTTTCCTTCTGCCAACATGTTACATTCACAAAAATGACTGGACTGAAGCTCTTAGGGTATTATGTTGTGAGACCAAATATTAATTGCGTCTGCAATTTCGAATTTGCATTTTTTTAAATTGTAAATGCAAATAACCTTCCAGTGCCATTTACGTCTAGAGGTGAATTACAGGGATTATCTTTTTTGTTAGATATTATTAAATTCTCTTCATTCAAGTTCATGCCAGTTTTGATGGTACTCTTATTACTTCTTATGGCTACAGTTACTGAGGAACTAAAGCAATATTATTTGAATTGTATATTTTTTTTGATATAATAAAAAATAATAATCATACAATCCTTTGCCATTAAATGGAAAACTCTCACACCAATGCATGTCTGCAGACAGATTTTGCAGACTGGATTGGCTAATTTGTTGAAAAGGTCATGATTGCAAATGATAAATAGATTTGCTGCACCTACTACTGTTGCATTTTAGGAAAACAATAGCAAAAGCTGATTTTTTTTCAATACTCATCTAAGTATTTTAATAAGGAGAAACAGCCTATAGAGGGGAGTTAGATTTCTATCAGATGATACTAGTTGATAATATTCAGTAACCAAGAAATAAGAATAACATGATGATGAGATAACGGTAGATATAAGGTGTGGTCAATGGGTCATATATAATGTGTTCTCTGAAAATGCGTCAGTAACACGAACACATATGTTTGTGTTTGTGTCTTTTTAGTGTATGTGCGTGATCTCAGTATGATCCAAAACTCCCTACAGTTACCACATGGCCCGGTCAACATGAGACCGGACTGCCACTGTGGCGGGTATGTGTGTGTGTGTCTGTGTATTGGCACAGTGGGTTGTGAGGTCATGATGGGAAACTTATCTCCATCTGGAGGAAACCAGCGCCTGTGCGTTTACAGCATCTCTGTTGTCAGCATAGATCAGCATAATCATTTTTGGCAAGATGGGAAAAAAATTGTTGATTATATTTTTATCTTATTCTTCCTAAATTATGATTCATTTAATGTGCTTTAGGTTTATGAATGAGATATATATATATGTGAATATATACACATATGTGTATATGTATAAACACATCTATCTATCTGTCCATAATATTTTTATTAGGTGTGTTCTTTGAACTTTATGATTATTCATACATTTTGTAATCTCCGCCATGGAGGTTATATTTTTAGGAGAGTTTGTTTGTGTGTGTGTGTGTGAGGCCCATTTGCCATGTTGTGGGGACCGGCCAACAGCTCCTTGTTGGGCCCAATGCCAGGAACCCTCACCTGGAAGTTTTTGTTGCATGGGTTACGTTTAGGATTTAGGTGTGAATGATTTTAAGTTGTGATTAGGGTTAGATATGAACCCCTAATGGTTAGGGTCACAGTTAGGCTGTAAAAATTACTGGAAGTCAATTGAAAAGCCCCACAAAGGTAGTGAGACAAGTTTCTGTGTGTGTGTGTGAGTCAGAATCATAATCAGACATACTTTATAATCCCAGAGGGAAATTACAGAGTAAAGACCATTTTTCCAATTTCACCATCAAATTGAGGACCAGTTGTTGCAAAGTGAGTATATTTTGCCGGTCCTCACATGATATTTTGCTAACAGTTAGGTTTAGGGCTAAGGTTTCAATTGTTTAGGATTAGGGTGAGGTATGCATTGGTAATGGTTAGGTTTAGGGTAAGTTTTAGGGTTACGGCATAGAAAGGGTTGGAAATGACTGATAATCAATAGAAGTCAATGGGAGTCAATATGGTCCTCACTACAATGGCAGAACGAGTATGTGTGTGTATGTGTATGTGTCTGTCTGTGTACAGAATAACTTGAATTGTTATGAACGTATTTTAATGAACTTCTTAACAAAGGTGCAAATCAGTTCAAGGAACAATCTATAAAAAAAATTCCAATTCTGTGAATACAGGTATTAACTTAAGGTGGAAGTCACAAAATGTCGGGGAATTAAGCTACTTGGTGGAGGTCTGCGCTTTCGCAGTGCTTTCCTAGTTTATTTATGCATTGATCGTTTCAAAGGGCTGTTCTTTTCAGACAGCAGCAGCAGGTTTAATCAGCCTAAAACTGACATATCATGTGTGTACTATGAATAAAATGTGAGTGTTATGTAACTCAGTGTGCAACATTAACTCTGCTGACAGGATCCTGAGTGAATTAGATGGTTTATATGACGTGGACCAATCAGATTTCCGATCCCCATCCTGATTAAGATGGATGATTGGAGGATGTGACTAAACAATACGCCGGTCAGTAGATTAGTTAATAATTCTACAGATGATGTTATGTAACTGGCAGCAGTTTGACCATTCGTTCTACAGCTAGCATAAAGGTCAGAGTTAGAATAAGTAGTGTATAAATATATGTGTTTATACATACGTATACAATATTAGTCATTTTTTGAACTCAGTGTTTACTATATGATGTATGATAACCTCCCCATCTTGTGCTTAGAAGTGTTTTAACAATTAACTAAGTAAATACATGTTAGATGAAATATCAGTATTTTTAATCTGTAGATCTGTGTCCAGATCTCATGCACCTGTTACAGCTTTTGTCTAAATGAGCATTGTATGTATGTATGGAGCTAGCTCCATATGTGTGTTCATGTATTGCATCTCTCTCCAGGCGATGGGACCGTGCTGGAGGCAGGTGCGGTGCTGCTGCAGGACGTTTTCGCCGTGAAGGTGAAACGGAGGCGAGCCGCGACCCAGCAGTCGGGGGGAGCCGTGCTCGGCCTTGCTCTCTTCCACTGCAGGAGGAGAGGGAGGCGGCTGGAGGAGGACACACTGCACCTCCACAACGCCTCTGCAGAACATACTCACTCCTGGTACAACACTCTGAAAGAACTGCTATCAGGTAACATTAAAACTGATCAGTTTGAAAACCTTTAGCCAATTCCGAGGCAGTGATTTCAATGTTTTTTTTTCATGGTTTTGAAAAATCGTTTTAGGTCGCTTTCACAAATAAAACCAAACTGATAGATATGCAGACAGTCCAAGCTAATAGCTGGATTGCCTGCCTTACATAAGAAACATAAGCAATGGAAACATGACTCAGTGCATCTGTAGTTGCCTCTTTGTAAGATGATTATACACATTCTGCTGAGTGATGCAGCTGGAAAGAACTCAATCTCCTTCTCCTTTAGATATGATGTAATGCATCAATATTTAATCTTCGTTCGTATCTGTTTTTATCAGTTTTAACGCTGAATTAGGTTATATACTTATTCTGGTTAGCAAACAGGTTTCTTCCTAGTTAAAGAATCATTAACATGATTTCCCCCAAAAGTCTGAAGATGTTTGGAATATAAAAGCACTTCACAAATAGAAATATTTGTATTTTTATCTGCTAAAATCTGTAGCCATCCATTTATCCACTTCCACCTTCCAGTCCTTCCCTTTATCAATTCATCCGTGCATTCATCCTTAAATCACAGACAGTGTGACTACTTCAGAAATATCTAAAAATAAATTCATAGATGGAGACTCCATCATGGACAACATGTACATGTAAATATAACACATCACTTTGGAAATCTGACTATTTAAAAGAATATGATGTATGAATGGATACAAAAATAACTGACTGAAATTGAAATTGCTAAGATGGCTTTATAAAATCCCTGTTTACTTGTACAAGACAATTTGTCCAAAATAAAATGAAGCAAAACTCATTTCAAATTTGTGCTGTAATTGCATCAAATAATCAGGCGTCATAGTCACATTTAAAGGTGTTCAAGGAAAACATTCAAGGGTCTTACATTTGTCTTTTGGAAGGTTTCTCAGATACTGTATCAGCTGTTATTAGTAATATCAGAGTTGAAATAAAATAGACAAACAGCTGCTCAGCCTAACGTTGCATCTGTATTAATGTTGCAGTATCTCTAGGGGTGTGCCAATCTGATATTAATCAGATATTTGTCTGATATCATTCCCTACGACAGACTGGCGACCTGTCGAGGGTGTACCCAGGCGACCCTGGTAGAAGATAGATGGAGATGGATGGTCAGATACCACAATAAAATAAATGGTGGAATATATGCCGCCTCTAAAACCCTTTAAAATCTCAGATATTAGAAAACTCATAGAAATACTTTTTTTCTATCCACTTTTGTTTAAAGTTTATGCAACTCTTTGGTGAATAAGAAAAGCATCAGTTGTTCTCATACCTGATGGTTTCAAGTATCGTTCTTTGTATGAAAAATAACACTTGGTCAAGCCTTTTCTGTCATTCCACACTGCAGAATAAATCATAAAGTATTTATGATTCATACTGGATGATTCATTGACCCGTATTAGGTCAATATCGGTAACGATCAACACTCAAAGCTGCAATGTCGCTATCGAATATGAAATGATAAAGTTGTATCGAGACTCTCCTAATTATTTCTATCAAGACTGTTCACGTTCACTTCATGTGGTGACTCAGAGTTACATCAGACAGAAGAGTTAATCTGATAATCCAGAAGTACAAAGACACACAGATTACACACATAGACATTCAGCTGCAGTAATGATCATGCTGTCAGCACTTGAGTAATGTCTGCAGAAAAGATTAGCTAAAAAACTTGTCTGCTTTAAAGGTAGCAGTATATGAGGTTTGAAATTGGTTGTTAAACTGCTGGGATTAAATATAAACTCTCCCCTTCACTCATACATCTGTGTCTCGGTGCCTACACGACAAACTAAGGGTTGTGCAGAGTTTATTGAATGTGCATGTGCTGATAGTTTATGATAATTATGTAAGGTGCTAAGACACCGGAACTTTGCAAAATAAAAACTTGAAAGGTCAAAGGTGTGCTATGCTATTTGCAGTAATGTTAAAAAGTTGCTCTTATATTTCAGATTATCAAACAATAAGGAAGAGAAGCTATCGATATCGAACTCCTTATATAAAGTTAGCTGCTGCTAAATCATATTACTAGTTTAACTTCCTTTATAGCCACAGCTATCATCAAGCACTTGTGATAATTGGCCATTGGTAGGGCTGCACGTAACGATTAGTTTGCAAATTGATTAATCCGACGATTATTTTTTGATTAATTGATTAACAATCGGACAACAAAAGGTTCCCTAAAGAGGACGCTTTACAAAATTAAACCAAGTGAAAATAAAGCTTTACCACTTGAGGGGTCCGGGATAGAGCATATTGACAGACGTAAAAGATTTTATCTATATTTTGCGGCACTACTGGGTCTATTTTTCTACAGTAGGCTGACAGGAAAGAGGGTATGAGAGAGGGGGAGAGACTTGCGACAAAGGACCTCAGGTGGGATTCGAACCTGAGTCGGCAGCGTCGAGGGCTCCGGCCTCTGTACATGGGTCGTGCACACTAAACACTGCGACATCTGCACGCCCAGACGTAAAAGATTTTAAAGGGAAATGTTTACCTGGTCGCCTCCCTCGGAAGGTGTTCCAGGCATGTCCCTTTGGGAGGAGGCCTCGTGGACATGCTGGAGGGACTATGTCTCTGAGCTGGCCTGGTGTCACCAGCACCTCGAGGAAGTGTGTGGGGATTGGAAAGTCTGGGCATCTTGGCTTAGGCCCCGTCCACACGAAGACGAACCCTGGCCTAAACGCACAAATTTTTCACCAAACCAGCCTCCCATCCACACGAAGCCGGCGTTTCGGGGGTCTGTAAACGATCATTTTTTTTATTCAGCCTTCAGAGTGGGAAGATTCTGAAACGCCGTTTTCGAGTTTCCATCTTTACACCCTAACCGCATTTTTTTTTTTACACGCATGCGTCATAGCGTCGCCTCTAAACACGCAAGCGCGACACATCACAACAACAATGGCGCCGTTGCTAATGCTACTCACCCTGCTGTCGGGCTTACAACAGAATCTTCTTCTTCTGGAATATCTCCAGGAAGAACAGAGCAATATCGACCACATAGTTCAGCACCTGAATTTGACTTAACCACGAAAATGGACCCGCAGGGCAACGATGTATAAATATTAGTGCGCATGCCCTACATTTCGTCGCTTATTTTTGCTTTGGCACCACAGCGCCACTTACAGGCCTGGCATACATTTTGCAGCGTTTTCATGCATTCGTGTGGATGCTCACATTTATTTTACGTCTCCGTCTTTACGGCAAACGTTTTGGAAAATATCAGCGTTTCGTGTTCGTTTTGACTTCGTGTGGACGGGGCCTTAGACTGCTCCCTCTGCGACCCGGCTCCGGATAAGTGGAAGAAAATGGATGGATGGATGTTTACACATTTCTTTTCACAATTTGGTTTACTGCTTTAAGTGGGTTGCTGTGTCAGCTAAAGACACATTTTAGATTCTTTATACTCCAGTTAATGATTAATCGATTTCTAAATTAGTTGATGATTATTTCAATAATCGATTAATAATGTTTAATCCAATACATTGTGTCAGTCCTAGTTATCGGTTACTTTCATTATCATTTCATCATTATGGGGAAAATTTTCCCCACTTCTGTTTGCAGAATTGTTATGAATCAGCCCCATTGAGCAGTTGTGAGGATTAAGGGTTCATTTAAGGTCATGCCACATTCAGTTTGTGTTTTTTGGAGCCATTAAAGATAGAGTGCTTTAACACATTATCATTATAAAATAAGTGCAACTGAGCTTAAGGTTAAGAACTGATCACCTGAACTTCTCCCTAAAGAGCTAGAACTTTACAATAGATCCACACATAAACATTGTGCATGGGGTTTTGATTGATATGTGCGCATGCCGACTAAAAGGGCTGTACAGAACATTTTCTGTTCAAACACTTGTTCCTTGAAACCCCTACTTAAAAGTATACCAGCTAATCTATAAGTAAATCAAGCAGTTCCTTCAGCAGCAATAGCAGCAGTAGCCATCTGCTTGTCAGGAGCTTTTTAAGAGAAGTCCTGGATGCTACCGCAGTCTGAGTTTCCCATGCGCTGATTACCCAGGTGCTCGATAGTGGGCAGTGCCCGACTGACTGTTAACACACAATAGAAAAGTTGAAGTGCTGTGTGTCTGGATCCAAGCTGCATGAACAATCTTTACATTTCAGCTCTTTTCTGCTTTTGCGTCTCTGGCCGAACAGACAGAGACATTACAAGCAATCATTAAATGAGGAGGTCAAAGTTGACACTTGCGCTAACATTGCTCTCTCACCATGGCATCAGTCTGACACGTTATCGCTGGTCACCTGTCTGACTGTGTTTCTGTCTGTCCATCATACCAGATTAGCCCAGAGGCCCTGCAGCAAAGTCACAACTTCTTCAAGGCTGCATCGTGGGCCTCACACTTCCCCGCATGAATGGCTCGCAGGTCGAGTGTCAGCTCGAGTGGTCACACTGCAGATCAAACTGTGTTGGCCTTTGTGACTTTAAACACCACAGTTTAGGAGTCTATTTCTTTATGTGTTGGGATGTGAAAGGTAAACACAGTCAGTCGCTCTGCTGCTCTGCGGACATTAAGCCTATTTTCCAGCCAGAGGTCAGTATGAAAAGCCTATTGTTGTATGAATCTCGGTGTCGCAGAGTGGGCAGCCTCGCCGCTGCAGACTCCATCGCCACTTCTTAACCTCTAGGTCCGAACATTAAGCTGCACAATGGTGAGCAGAGAGCACCTTGTTTCCAGAGGGTTATTCTGTGCCGTTTTCTTTGTGAGACAGCTGCACAGAAACTGAAAGGCAGTCAGAGCTACAAAAGGTAAGTATTTATGCTGTATAGAAACTGTTTCAATACACGCGGTCAGACGACAGAATAATTGACTGCACTTGTTTAACAGCTGAACAGTCTTACAGTCTACAGTCGGCGGGGAAATTTCTCGGCAGCGACACTCTGAGAAATATATTTTCAAACCATGTCAGCTTCTCTCACAGAAATATTTCACCCCTATTCTAATA